TTAACACACCTTTTATAGGGTTCTACAGGGTTTGCGGGCAGAGCAAGCTACTATTGGCTAGTACACACAAGTTTACATTCTTATCCTTGTACACAGGAATATTGTTTTACTTTCTGCAGGCAAGTTTCAAGGATTTTGGCCCTTAATATTACAACTTAACACAGAGGCTGGTTTGTGCAGACAGGCTTTTACTAATATATCGTGCCCCCCATCTGCTAAAAAACTCTCTATAATTCCCCCGTTTCCTTTTTGCACAAACCAGGCCTTGGATGCGGCTTGTTCTATACTTTTACGAACACAAGATAGCATACAACCTACAAGCATTATCACCATTATCATTATAAATAATATTCGTCCCCCCTCTAGCACAAGAGACTTCAACCACCCAGTAATGCCCCAGTTGGCGAACCAACTCTCAGTGGGGTTACTAACTTCCTTCAAGGCATGTAACCCATCCTGTAGCTGGTGTAGTTGTTTGTGGATGGAAACTGAGTGATCAGAAAGATTCAAGCAGCACATGCCTTCAAACTCCTCACAACCATGTCCTTGCGCTAAGAGCAAAAAGTCAATTGCAGCTCGGTTTTGTAATACTGCATGACGTACACTACTCACATCGGCTGAAAGTTCACTTAGCATTGTAGATGTTAAGTTTAATTCTTTCCTAGTCCAGCAAGCGAGCCTTTTTAGGGTGGCTAGACTTTTGGCGGCAGCTGCTCCTGGAATGAAGAAGGAGGTTGCCCAGATTATACCGCGATTCCAAAAGTCTGGGTTTCTAACATCATTACACTGTAACTCATTTAGGCTTCGCTTGGACCGCCTATTGATTTTCATTTTGTCAGCCACACTCAGCAATTGATGTAAGCTTGGGTGGAACAAGGTAAGTTTCCCAAGATAACATGGCCCTCCATGTGGACTAGCAGGAATTCCATTCCATGCCCTATTCCCACAGACTAGGAAGATGGAACTAGGTAAGCGCTTTGGTAATTGTCCTGTGAGGTTGCATCGCGAGTAAAAGGCTTTACTCTCAGTGGCAGTAACGAGATCAACTATGGGGTTGACTGTAGCCCAGCGCTGTGTTGCTTTGTCAAGATGATTTTTTGTTGGGGGCTCAAACATCATCCATCCACCTGAGGTATTGGTAGAACCTAGCAGATCTAACTCTTCTGGGGGTCTCATGGTAACATTGAGAACCTCAATAATTTTCGTTTGCCAGCAGGCTTCAAGTTGCCTAGATGTGAGGCCAATGGTGCGGTTGCACTCCTGCAGCATTATCGATTGATTTAGTCAAGTCTCGTTGCTAACTAAACCTTTAAAGGCTGAAGGATCCCATTCAGGGACTCCCACAAGACAGGTGCGAAAAGGATCTCCAGGGGTAGCTAGGCTCAAACACATTGATTTTTGACCGGTCAGGTGTGCTAAGGTGACCCATATGTTCTGTCGCTTTTGGATATCAGTCAGCAGACAGCTGGTTGGGGTTACACACAGCACAATTACCACAAGCAGTTTGTCCCATGCAAATGGCGTCATGTTTGCAAACTCATGGCTAAAACTCTGATCGTTAAGTGAACTTTCAAAGATGCTTACACTAGCTCTTGAAGGGGGAATACTTATACCTTATACTAATATAACAATCACTACACACACTAAACTTCTTAACTCTTACTTATCTATTCTAACACACGTGCTTTGGTATATATGTAGTCTAAGCGTGAAAGCAATTTGCAAAAGGGGTAAACACACAACTAGAATTTGTTTCGTGTACAATTAGATAGAGTCTCTGCACTCTTCTCAGATCTGCACAGGAATTTCTCACAAACAGACTATGGTTTGACACAGTTCAGTCCTGAAACATTTGTTGTTCTCGTGGTGTCAGCTGACAGCCGATCAGGGATTGACTGAGGGCATCAACGTTCTGATTGTTCCTCAGATCTTTCGTGGCTGGTTTGGTCCATCGGCTAGGCACCCACAGCGGTCCAGTATCTGTGGAAACACAACTGTAACCACGCCCGTTAAATAGCAATGGACTTGGTCCCTCCCAGATACCTGTTTTTGGGTTTTTGTAATATAACTTAACTTCTGGGGTAGCTTGCATCTTTACTTGACTATTGTGAATGACCACTGGGGGTTGCTCTAAATCTCCAACTAAACTGAGGAAATTTAGAGTGAATAACTTGCTGCAATCGAATGGTAGGGTCTAACTGTTCTGGTGTTTTTTGCTTATTCAAGTACTCTTTTAGGGTCCTATGGGCTCTCTCTACAATGGCTTGTCCAGATGACACATGGGGAATTCCAGTTACATGTTTGACTCCCCATTTTTGTAAGAAGTGAGAAACTCGTGTTCCTACATATGCAGGCCCATTGTCTGTTTTTAATTCTTTCGGAACTCCCATTACGGCAAAGCACACTACCAAATGTCGAATTACATGTATGCTTTTTTCTCCTACTTGTGCAGTGGCCCAGACCATTTTTGAAAAGGTATCTATTGTAACATGTACATATTTGAGGCGACCAAATTCAGGCACATGTGTTACGTCCATTTGCCAAATCTCACAGGCTTGAAGACCCCTAGGGTTAACGCCTAAACCTAGAGTGGTTCCATATTGACTGCATTGTGGACAGGATTTTACAATGCCTTGTGCATCTGTTAAGCTGATGTTAAATTGTCTCTGTAAGGCTTTTGCAGCTTGTTGAAAGAGAGCATGACTCTCTCTTGCAGCTGTGAAGGAGTCTCTTGGTGCTGCTACAACAGGACTGACAAGCGTGTCAGCTTTTAGGTCTTCTCCGAGACCTAATTCTGTTTGATGACTGCAGATGTGAATGATGCAACAGGGCTCGTTCCTGTCCTCTATAGCTCTTTTGATTTGAAAGAATAGTTGACACAATCGCTTATTATCTGGTGGTTTGATGACAGCGTCTTCAATACGTTGTACCACTCCTACCACGTACAATGAATCTGATACAATGTTCAGCTTGCTGTCTCGCCAATGAGACAGTGCCCATGCAACGGCTGTAAGTTCTAATGTCTGCAGTGAGTCGTGTGCATCTCCATCTATAGTTTTACTTCTCCAACTTGAGTCTTGTTGCCAGGTACAGGCTGCCTTTTTCCGCCGACTTCCTGTGTCCGTGTACACTGTAAGGCCTTTTACTGGCTGCTTCACGACTTTGGGCTGTTGCAACCACCGCTGTTTTAAGATAATCTGCAGGCGTGGGTCGCTAGGTTGTCTGTTGTGTACAGTCCCTGGATAGCTGAGCAACGCTAATTGAATTGGCTCTGAGTGTCTCAGCATCCACTCAAGATTTTCTATTGTTATTGGCAGACTGATATGTTCCGGCTCAGCACCACTAATTTCCACAGTTCGTGTTCTCGCCTTCTTGATAAGATAAGCAATTGCTTCTGTCCTCTGCCAGATACTCATTGGTGGCGTATATGGTGTGAAAATCCACTCAAGGATCGCTAGAGGCTCTGCACCTTTCTTCACTAATTGCACTAACATTGGCTTCCTGGCAGGCTGCTTGGCACCTCGACGGCTCTTGGGTGGGCCTTCTCCCCCTTTTCCTTTTTGCCAAGCAGGCCACTGAAATATGATGGCACATGGTGCAACAGGGTGGTTACAAATCAGAAGTCCCAAAGGCACATCTGGCAATCTTCTGTCTGCTAGTGTTGAAAGCAGTTTCTTCCCCAGATAAATGAGACAGCTCTTTTGATTTGCCGAAAGGGTAATCGGAGCTTGTGGGTCTGTACCTTTCAAAAGGCTCATTAAGGGTGCTATCTCATCATTTTGGATACCAGCGATGGATTGTACCCATTGCAGATCTCCAACAAGTTTCTGTACATCATTAAGTGTATGGATCTCAGTGGTTAACTCCAATTTTTGTGGGTGGACTGATGAAGATGTCAAAATCCACCCTAGGTACTTCCATGGGGCTTGTCTTTGAATTTTTTCTGGGGCAACCACCAAGCCTTTTGCTGCAAGCTGGGCGGTGATAAATGTGAGATCTTCATCTTGGAATGGATCACGTTGGCAAAACAAGATGTCATCCATGTAGTGATAAATAATTGTCTGGGAGAGCTTGGCTCGCACAGGTGTCAGTGCCCAGTGCACAAACAGTTGGCACATTGTTGGAGAATTTTTCATCCCCTGTGGAAGGACTACCCACTCAGATCTCTGAGACGGACCTTCTTTGTTGATTGACGGCAAAGTGAAGGCAAATCTCACTGTGTCTTCCTTCTGCAGCGGTATCATGAAGAAACAGTCTTTCAGATCTATGACCAGAAGATGCCATTCTTGTGGCAGCATTGTGGGAGAGGGCATCCCTGGTTGTAACACTCCCATGGCCCACATTTGGTCATTTACCTTGCATAGGTCATGCAGCAATCGCCATTTTCCAGACTTCTTTGGGATGACAAAAATTGGACTGAGCGATGGTTGGATATGCTTTGCTTGTAGCTGTTCCTTGACAAGTTCATGCGCAATTGCTAGCCGCTCCTGGGATAGAGGCCACTGCTCAACCCACACAGGCTCATTAGATTTCCACTGAATCCTTGGGGTTGGTGGCCCGTCAGCAGTGGCGACTACTGAAAAGGCGATTGACTGGGGAGAGTTAGTGTTGCTCTGAGCTGGCTGAGAACGTCTCGGCCAACGAGCACTCCAAGGGTTCCAGGTAAAGGCATGATGTATGGACATAAGGTGGTAGCCTGTCCTTCAGGAAATCAAAACTGGATTGGGTGTACACTTCTCAGCGGCGTGGAGTATCCTCCTACACCTTGTACCGAGTTTAAGGCTCTGTGGAGAGGCCATTCTCTTGGCCACCAGTCTCGGCTGACGATGGTGACATCAGCTCCCGTGTCTAGCATCATCTTGACTCTTTGCTGCTTTGATCCGTGGCACAGGGTGATTTCAATTACTGGCGGATGACTCATTTGTTGAACGAGATTCACCACTGTGTCTCCCGTTGACCCAAATCCTTTGGCTCCGCGTTCAGGAGCACTTTGAAAAATATCTTCTCAGTTGCCACCTTTTGAAACAACACCAATTGAGCAATTTTTGTTCCCCTTTTGATTGTAAGTGGAGGAGCTAGAGTGTAGGCACACACTTGGATTTCACCAATATAATCAGCATCGATGACTCCTGGGAGAACAATAAGTCCAGCAATTCCAGCAGATGATCTCCCAATCAACAAAGCACCAAGTGCACTGGTAGCAGAATAAACAGGTCCTGTAACTCCAGTTGGGATTTTGCGGACACTGGTGTCGATGAGTGTGATGTCTACTGATGCTGCCAAATTGATTCCCAGGCTCCCTCGTGTTGCTGGTGGGTTGAGCTGCTGAATAGAGTTGGGCCGGCAACTTGTGTCCTCGCGCGGCGGCTCCTCGCGCTCTTGATCATGTTTTTTGCAAGGCGACATACCGAGGTAGCATGTTTGTCTGATTGGCAGTGATCACACCACACAGTGGCTGGGCAGAATCTTCACGAGTGCCCTCTGTTGCCACATCGAAAACAGATGCCTGGAGGTGTAAGGAAGGGTTTGCATCCACTTCCCAGCTTGCTGACAGCAGCAGCAATCAGACTTGTGGTTGGCTTGATGGCTTCTGCAACAGCATTGGCTACTAGCTGTCCTTGTTGCATTTGATTTACTCGCAGGGCAATATCTAGCATGTCTCCTACGTCTGCTTGCTTTAGGAGTGTGGCAAGAATAGGCTTTATCTTCGAGTTGGCGTTCTCAAAAGCTAATAGCTTGAACATGTTCTGTTTTGCCTCTTTAGTCATGTCATTCTGAGCTTTAAGGGCTGCTGACAGACGATCGATGAAATGAGGGTATGGTTCTGTGAGGCCTTGCCGTATTGTTGTGAAGGAAGGATGAGGTTTGGAGTCAGGCACAGCATTAAAGGCTTGATGAGCGAGCTGTGCAGACAAATGATGCATTGCAAGAGGGTAGTTTAGCTGTACAGCCATGTGACTGTAAACTCCTGAACCGGTGAGCATGTCAGGATTAAGTCCATACAATACATCATTTTGATCTCGAGGTCGGTTGGCTTCTAGAACTGCTAACCTCTTCCATTCCTTCTCCCACACCATAAGCTGTGATGGAGTTAAAAGCAGACGTGCGAGATTCTGGCTGTCTATGGGACTGTTAACATCAGAAGTGAACAGCCAGTCCAATGCAGCGTTTGCAGCTTTGGATTTGATGCCATTCTCAGTGACTGTCTTTTTAGCTTGCTGCAAGATCTTCCAGTCATGCTGTTCATAACGTGGATTCTGCTGATCATATAAAATGGGACAAGCAACTGTCCCTGCTGCTTGCCATTCTCCCTCCAGGATTGCATCTCGAATGATGCCGGACCACCTCTGCTGTGCTCTGTGTTTTCTGTTCTCTTCCTCCAGGGTGATAGAGCTAGAACAAGGCTGTGGTGTTGACAGTATTTCCAAAGGTGGAGCAGATGGTTCAGGACGCAGCATATCCTGTAGTTGTTGAACTGACTCTGCTCATTGTCTCGGTGTTTGCTGCAGAGCTGCTTTCTCTTGCTGAGGCTGTGTCTTATTTGCACGTAAGGTTTGTTCAATTCGAGCTTGGAGCTGTTGCACAAGCTGCTCCATTTGATGTTGCCACCCCAGTAGCTCCTTCTTTGCCGTTGCGCTGTCATCAATTGGCTCTGCTCCCGCTGCAAACCGTCCGTCATCGGAATGCATAGAGACGTCGTCATCGGAGGGGAGAGGGATGTCCTGCGGTCTTCCCCAGTGAATGGTAGATGGCATCGAAGGGTAGATCTTCGATTTGCACTTTGTGGCTCTCGTTTCTGCTGACGTATCAGGCTCCACCTGGCTGGAGCTGGCGCCCACTCCTTCCGGGGGAGCCGTCATTTCTACATCCGCATTCAGCAGGGTAACTTCCGGCTTAGGCTCTGCCGGCATGGCCGGAGCCGCGGAGGGTTCCGCCTGCGCGGCCGGAGCCGCAGAGTGCCCCACCGGCGCGGCCGGAGCCGCATCGGCGCACCCTTGAGATTTTAAAAGTTCCGACACGGTGCTACACTGCTTCCCGGTAAGTCCCTTCACTGGCCGGACATGCCCCACCCCGAAAAATGCACTCAAACGGCTAGAGGGCTCAGCAGGGGGTGATTGCGGCGCGTCCGTCTCGGGTGGCGGCATGGCGTCTATGGCAGCTGCTGCTACTGAGGACTCTGCCTTCATATCCCGCAGGGCATTTAACACAAGTTTCCAAACTGAACCGAGGGCCACTACGTCTTTACTCTTTCCCGTAATTGCCGTATCCCACATCAAATTCCTGACATCCATCCATTCTTCCACTGCAAAAAGCAGTGAGGGCACTGAAAAATGCCCACGATTTTTCGCCCATATAATGAGCTTATCCAGGTCCTTTTCCCCGGCTGCTTCACCTCGTTTGACGAGGATACCGAGAAGCAGTTTTTTCGCCGCCGCAAACTCTGCCTCCATGCTGACGGCAACCCACAAGGGGGAAGGTTGCAACCCTTCTACTACGCCCTT